GTCGCCGACGGTCACCGGACTTCGCCGTCGACTGTCACCGGACTTTGCCATAGATTTTATATTTTATATTTGTTTCATATAACTTTATTTTTGTAGGTTCTACCCATCAAAACAACCGACACATAAAATACGGGACATCATACGGAGCAGGTTTGACGCTCCTTATGTTTCTTGGAAGAAAGTCCAGAAAGAAATCTGGGAGAAGTGGTTTAGAGAGTTTGAGGTATTTAGGGCTAGTGTAGCTTTTGAAGAGTGAATATGGATGGATTGGGTGCGTTAATATCATATGAACACTCGAGTTGCCTTGAACTTAGCCCAAAGTAGATTTGGCTGTGCATTTAATTTCTTGATTTACTTGTCTATTAGAAAAAAAAAATATAAGATAGTTATTATTATTGAAGAAATAATTTGACTTGACTACTCCATCTATGTCAACTCCATGGACTTGGACCAGACCTAGAAATTTCTGGGTTTGGGTCAATCTGTTTTCCATAAGGATCGAGTTCGGGTTTGAGATTCCGACCATTTAAAAATCGGGTCGGGTTGACCCGAAAAGCCAAAAACACTTTGCGGCGTTTTATCCGCCGGTAATGTCCGGCGCATAATGCGACGCTAATTACCGGCGCATATGGCGCCGAAATTAAGACGTTTTTTGACGTCGACAACAATCCATTTTTTCGCCGGTAATTCGTCGGAAACTGTGCCGGAGAAATTTTCGGCGCAAATCTTGCGCCGGAAATAATTTATCGACTCGACCAAAACCGGCGTATCCATTTCCGCCGAAATGTGCGCCGGAAACTTATAGTTCCGTCGGAATATCTATGTTTTTCGGCGGATTTCGTCCGCCGGTAATATGTGGTTTTCCTGTAGTGATGGCTCGGTTGAGTGCCTATTATCTCTCAACTTTTGATAGGCTATGTCTGATTGTACCTAACGCTTAAGAATGATTATCATATGATGTAGATCAACTCCAGTATTTATAGCCCACTTTTTCAGTCACATGGTCTCCCCCTCTATTAGGAGAACGGCAAAACTTACCTACCATATCCAAACACTCGATTTTGCTCATCAAATGTCATTCGACACTTTCAACAATCATTGATCATTTCCTTATTTCTACTGTGTCCCATTAGTTTAGGAGAATAATAAAATCTACTGCCCTTTAACCCTTTATCCCTTGACATGTCTTTAATTGCTCATATATGTTACATTGTTACACATTCTTTAGTTTTAGAAAACAACATCTCTTACTAGCTCTAACTTATATATTAGTAGAATTATTCCAAAATAAAAAAATATATATTTTTTTGCTTTTAAAATATATTATTTTAAAAATGTGTATTATAAATGATACATATTTTAAGATCAATAATAAAAATATATGGAGGTTTAATATAAAATATATTTTATTACACTAAAAAAATTATATCTTATCAAATCCTGTCTCCATCGTTTGGGTCTTACCCACCAAAACGACAACGGTCAGAGCCGAACTTAGCAAAATAGCACTAAATCCCAACCGCTCGTTCTAGCTCAGATACCCTCGAAAATTCCTGTTTTGCCCTTGACCGGAGAGCTAGTCGGTGGGCCCCAGGATCGTAGGGTCCATATAACCCCAATGACTTCACCGACAGCACAGGCATCGCCGTTAACTTTTCGATGCGTCAATTTGTCGTCGTCTACTTCCTTTGCTCCGCAATTTCGCGCGTTGAGACAACGGCTATGGACATCCTGTGCGGATCTCCGTATAGGTGTTAGGTGTTCCAATGCGGTAATAAAATAGAAACTCGTAAAAAATATCAATTATTTATTTGTATTACTACGTTGGTAAATAATTTTTATTTTGAACAATTTAGATGCATAATTTTAAATTCTTATATACTTATATATTTAATGTGTATATAATTTTTTAATATTTATTTTTTATAATTGTTGCGGGTTAAAATATATACGGCGATAGAGTTATAATTCTACGTCTTATTGTTGCATGGATATCCAGCTCATACATAGAGAATATTATAATTTTTACGTGGAAAATTCGAGAAAGGAAAAAAAAAAACGACAGGACCAGCCTATAGGGGTGTCAATTATTGACACGACCCGAAACACAACCCGAACCCGACCCGGAAAAATCCTGGTTCGAAATCAACCCGTTTTAAAAATTGGGTCGGGTTCGGGTTGACCCAGCAACCCGAAATTGACACGAAAACTCATATTTGACCCGAAAACCCGAGATTGACCCATTTTGACTTGTTTCGACCCGTTTTGACCCCAAAATTGAAGACTGACCCACTTTTTGACCTGAAAACTAGCAATTTTGGGTCAACCCCGGGTCATTCGTGTCGGGTCGGGTTGACCCGGACCCGAATCGGGTCGGGTTCGGGTCCGAAAACCTGACCAAGTTTTAAAAACGGGTCGGGTTCGGGTTGACTCGAATAGTACCGGGTCAGTTCCGAATTCGACCCGTTGACCCGAATTGACACCCCTACTGGCCTAGTTGAAAATGATTCCACTAGAATTTGAGCAAAGTGCAATGGTCTGACTCATCATTGAAGACAACCATATTACAAATGTCAACTGAAAGTTTCAGAAATGTCTAGTGTCACTCCAACATCAGGTGGTGGTCCGGCAGCACTCTGGTATCAGGAGGTGGTCCTGCAGTGGCACTTCAGCGTCATGGGGCACTCGGCTTCGGATGGCACTTCGACATCCTTTGATGGTATGGTGGTGATGATTCGATAGAACTCCGACGTCCTTTGGTGGTCTAGTGGTGGTGTGGTAGAACTCTGACGTCCCTTGGTGCTCCAACGGTGGTGCAGTTGAACTCTGACAATGGTGTGGCAGAACTCCGACGATGGTGTGGCAGAACTCTGGCCAGTGGTGGTCGAAGAAGAGCTAAGCGGATGGATCTTTCTTTCTTCTCTTCCTTCTTCTCCCTTGACTTTTTCCCTTTTCAAGAGGAAATGTGGTTCTATTTATAGAATGTTTGAGTAGCATGACTTGTAAATATATGAAGAATCAATGTCAAAATGGGAGTGGTTTGAATGAATGACTGATATTGTTCCACTTGATCTTGGACCATTTAATGGTCATTTGAATGCCTTAATGATATTGAAATTTGGTGATCTTGGGCACGTTGGATTCATCCAATCGAGCTGCTCGATTGGACTATAAGCATGTCATCTTTAGAGTTTGTTTGGTATTCCAAGTTGAGCTTTGAGCATTTCAAATATGCTTTTGACCCTTGATTTGGGCTCATTTGAGCTCAGATTTGAATGATTTTAGTGTTGATGGGTTCGTCTTTCCAAAACGTTTAGTTTGACTATAAAATTGTTAAAATCAGAGTTTGGATGATCCCATATTTAATTTTAATTTTACCTCAAGATTCGTGTTCGATCAAGATAATTTTTTGATGATATATCAGTTGCCCCCCTATTTTTGAACTTTACAAGCTTTGACATTCGAAAATATATAATTACACCTTCTCCTGAATGTTGACCAGCATACACAGCAAAAAATAGCAAACATAATTTATAATTAATTTGCCCAAATTTACAAATTAATAACATCCTAATATTTAAATTTAAGTCTACAAATTTATTGTATTTTATATAAATTTCATATTAATTATATTTTTTAATTTGATTTAAATATTATATAATTGCATAAATAAATATAAAGACTTAGATATTAAATTTAAAAATAAATAAGAAATCAATGGTAAGTATGTAAATATCTCTTATTATTTTTATTATAATTTTATCCCAATATTTATAATTTTTTGTCATTATCAACATCATCATGATTGACCAATTTTCCAATTATTTACTAGTGACTTTATAAATCATCATTCTTTTTCATTTATTCTCAATGGGTGCTAAGATAAATTCAAACTTTATAAAATATTTTTGAGGACTTCTATCTATATAACTTTAGGCATCTTCCATTCTTTTCTAATCCAATTAGAGCTACTTTCATTGCTTTAACTTATGAAAAATTTGTGGCTATATAGTTTTTAATATCTATATTTGACATCATTGTGTTGGATACTAATCATACATATTGAGAGACGTTACATTGCTTAATACATAAATCACGCAAAACTGGTCAATAATATGATTTTTTGATAATTTTGTTTAATATAAGAGACAATGATACAAATCTTAGTGAACATACATGTACATAAAAATTACATTGCTTAATACCCAAATCATAAAAAAACACGATTTTGTGACGAAAATTCTATCACAAATAGCTCATTGCGAAATTCCATCATTGCAAATTTATATTGTGATAAACTCGCTTCGATCGTAAAATTACTAAGAGTATTCAACAATATATTTCATCGCAAAATATGTGTAGTTAAGCTACCGGTAATTTGTCACACGTTTTTTGCAAAAATGATAAAATTGATAAACTCTTTTACAAAAGACCGCAAAATTGTCACAAATCCATAAACTCATAATACATCTAATACATTAAAAAATAATAAGTCAAATCATTCTATGTAATCACTAATAACAATCATAACATCAACATTACAATAGAAAGTGAAGCAAAAATATATTTATATTTAACAAAATATAATACTTTAAAATATGAATAATTACTACACTACAATATTCTATTTTACATTAATTTTAATATGTTTTATCCAAAATAAGATAACAAAATTATTATGATTTTATAATATAAATTTTGTTGAAGAATAAAAAAAAAATTATGAAATATATTATAATTAAATTATTCAATATAATAAGTAAAAGGGTGAAAAACTGAAAATGCTTAATTTCCACGGCTATTTGCATAGAGTATCTCGCATAATTTCATAGAGTATCTCGCATAAAAAATTGACCCTTGAATTTCTTTTCTGATAGAAAAAAAAAGATCACTTTATCAGCACGGCGCGGTCTGAGCACCTGCTGTAAGCTCACCAACTCCTCACTCCCACGAACTTCGCACGTGGCTCTCTCCCTCCTTGAATATCTCGAGACACTCGGTTAGCCCGTCTTCTCTCCTCCTGTCTCCCTTTTCCTCTTCACTTATCTTGCACACTGAACTCTCTCTCTCTCTCTCTCTCTCTCTCTCTCTTGCTGGGAAGGATGCTTTGCAGCAGGAAAGTGATGAACTTCTTCGTAAGAAAAGATGTCAAAAGATTTCTCAAGCGAAAGGACAGTGACGCCAGTGAGAGAGGTACTCTCTCTCTCCGTCTGTCTCTCCCTCTCCTTCTCTTGTACATGTTTGGGTTTAGGTTGGATTTCGCCGTCTGATTCTTTATGCCACATTTCTTCTTTCTAAGCTTTTGGTTGCAATAGAATTCATAGTTTGAAAGGAATCGCTTAGGGGGTTTGCTTTGGCTATGATTTTTAACCCAGATGAGGCATAAAGATGAACATTTAATTACCGTGTTTTGGATTGCTTGGAGGCCAATTAAGTTTCTTTTGCAACTACCAGTAGGAAGATGGTCAGTTGCGACCTTGGTTTACAGTTACAGGGTCAGCGTCTTAGCATAGGAGGGATAATGGAATATTAGATTTATTATTATTATTTTTGTATTTTTAATTTAAGTTGTGTTGTTGGGTTGGTTTGAATTGACTGAAATAATTTGGGGGTTGGTAGGCTTTTATAATCCATTCATGCTTTTTTGGAACTGATATTTGCACACTCTAAAATTTCAAGTATATTACCGCAGTTTTTCAATTTCAAACCCCGTTTCTTTTTAATGGCTTGAATCTTTCCCTTCATTGATTTTTACTAATTTTTGAGTTTATTTTTTTGTTGGAATTTTATGTCTTTTGAAACCCTTTGCATTTGTTATGATAATTCCTTGATGGAATTAGGCAAAAGGTTAGAAGATCTTAGAGCTTCTCTTTTCAATGATCTACGAACATCTGAAGGCGCAAAGCGATTACAGCAGAGGATATGTGGCCCTACAGTTGCTTTAACATTCAATTTCTGGGTTTCTGTTTGTATCATTCTGATGAACAAGCTGGTAGTTTCTTGATGTTTTCACTTGTTTAATCTTGTTGTTTATTAATAGATTCCTGAAATCTTAAGATACTTTTGGCTTTCTTCAGGTCCTTGGAAAAATTGGTTTCAATTTCCCGATATTGCTTACCTTCATCCACTACAGCCTGAGTTGGTTTTTGATGGCCATTATGAACGCATTCTCCTTCCTTCCAGCCTCCCCTCCTGCAAAGTCATCCCGTTTCTTTGCTCTGTTAACTCTTGGCATAGTCATGTCTTTCTCTACTGGTCTCGCAAATGTCAGCTTGAAGTACAACAGGTATTTCTGTCATAAGGGGTTTTGTATTGGTAACTCCATTAACTTTTAAAAATAATGAGAATGCTTTGCATTTTACCAGTGTGGGCTTCTATCAGATGACCAAGATTGCTGTGACCCCAACTATTGTTTTAGCCGAGTTTGTGCTCTTTACGAAAACTGTTTCTTTTAATAAGGTAAAGTTCTTCACTTATGAAACAGTGTTTGCGTATCAAGTCGAGCTATGTTGTGATCAGGTTTCTATCTTATTTCTTTGAATAATGCAGGTTCTGACACTAACAATAGTATCAATTGGAGTTGCTGTTGCAACAGTGACAGACCTCGAGTTTCACTTATTTGGAGCAATCATTGCTTTGGCATGGATAATTCCAAGTGCCGTCAACAAAATACTTTGGTCCAATCTTCAGCAGATGGAAAACTGGACAGCTTTAGCGTAAGTTATTCAAATTATGCACTTTTCCTTTTGGATTGGTTGATCCATGAGCTTTAGGAGCTTCATTAACTAGTTTTGTATCATATAACCAGCTTAATGTGGAAGACAACCCCATTGACACTTATCTTTTTGGTGGCTTTGATGCCCTGGCTTGACCCTCCTGGCGCTCTCTCCTTCAATTGGGACTTCTCCAACACATTGGTTATTTTTCTCTCAGCTATTCTTGGTTTCCTGTTACAGTGGTCAGGTGCATTGGCTCTGGGGTGTGGCTTCTTAATCCTCAAAATCTTTCCATGTGAAGCCCATTTTGCAATTTGCACTAGATAGACTGAGGAATCCCTATATTTACTGTGTTTTTAAATTTTATGTTTTCAGGGCAACGTCTGCAGTCTCCCATGTTGTTCTTGGGCAGTTCAAGACTTGTGTTATCCTCCTTGGAGGTTTTCTTCTCTTCAATTCTAATCCAGGAATTTTAAGCATCTGTGGAGCTATTATTGCTCTCGGGGGTATGTCATTCTACACTTACCTAAACATGCTAGCTTCTCATCAACAAGCAGCCAAGCCAACAAACCGACAATCATCATTTCCTTTAATGAAACCTAAGCATAATAAAGAAAGTGGTGATGCTCATGATGGAGATTTAGTGATGGAGCCTGTCTGAGGATCTGCATATAGTTTGGAAGCACTTACAACTTTAAGGATACATATCAATCTAAGATGATTGGTTGTGAAAATCAGAAAGAGAAAGGGTGAGAGAAACCAACTCAAGTTTTCTTTTGTATTAAACATTTAATTCCAACATTTTTCCTTGTTGCAATTTCTGAAATTGCAGAAATAGTAGAAGCTACGACTCTGTACTCAAAGTTGTATTTACATTGTGTATTAAGTGCGCTGTTCTTTTATTCTGATTGAGGTTACAAATGCATCTCTTTAGAAAGTAAGTTTTCACTGTACATTTGGTGTAAATAATATTAATCAGTATTGAATGCAGGATCCTTTATTCTTAAATCTTGTTCTCCTTACATTTAGTTTTTTATTTTTATTTCTCTTAATTTGAAACCAATAACTAAAGGGGGAACAGCCATGCAGTTTCTCAGCTCAAGACTCACAGTGTTTACTCTACATTTATTTTTTAGGGCTATCATTATTCTAGGGTTGCGGAAACAATAGTTTCTAAACATTTCCTTATTACGTTCTTTCTATCCTTTCATTAAGTATGATTTTTTCTTAATTAATACAAAGAAGCTAAGGAGCAACATGTTAGACTAGTCCAGTGGACCGGTCCAGCCGGGGGACCGGCCCAGACGCAAAAAATCGGGGAAACTCCGCCTGTTGGGATGCCGCGCGAGCCGCACGCCGTGCGGGAGCCATTTTAGGAAGGTTTTTTTAGGGTTTTGAGAGGGAAATTTGAATTTAGGGACTGTTTAGGGATTTCCTTTTGATTGGTATGCATTAAATACTTTGTTTTCCTAGGGTTAGGGCATCTTGAATTTGGCTGAAATTTGAGATATCTTAGATTTAGGTTTTCTTTGGGCTCTAGCGGCGCCTAGAGATTTGGGAGAGATCGATCCTCCTCTCGAATAGAGGTTCAATTGTATCTTGCTATTTTCCGTTTCCCTTTCATCAAATAATACAAATTATCTACTGTTTTTGTGGTTTTGTGCGGACTTTTTTTGAAGGATTCTCATTGTTTTCCAAAGATTGATAGGAAATACTTGAGATCTACGAGTGTTTCCTATCACAACAATCATGCAGTTCATTAGCTCATGACTGCTGTATTAGCTGTGTAGCTTTTACTTCTTCTCTACATTAATTTATTTGGTGAATGATTCTGTCCGGAGGCGTGAAAATACTTCTAATATTTCCTTAAAAATAGGTGTTGCATAACTTCATAAATGTTTACATGCCATGTTCTAAAAAAATTCAAATTTTGGCTCCCATCCTTCACAAACATGCACTTATATTGTGCCTGTAATGAAAATACTTTAGGTTGCTCAACTACCTTGTTGCTAGTGATTAGGATGTCAAATGCTATTATTTCCACTTTTCAAGGGCTATTGTAGGTTCCTCCTTGTTTTGATTGATTATCATGTCAACTTGCTCACTAAATATTGTTTTAATTTTATGCATACCATCATCTATGGCTGAATTTAGTTACATATCTCTTCATGGGACTTATGCCAAGCTACTGTTATAATTGCTGCCTTAAGATGATTTTGTATCATGACATCAGCTCCACTTCTCTTCCATCATGTTTATCTTTGTCTGGACATTCCAACATCTCCCGTCTATTCTAGTAGATTAGCCTTTTTTGAGTTAATATATTTCATTTTATATATACCTTTTTTATTAGTTTTAAATGAGAATTTGACTCTCAATAGGACATAATGTAAAAGATGGATTCATGTAGATCACCCCATGTAGTGGGATAAAGGCTTGATGTTGTTATTATCGTTGTATACATAAATCCATTATCTGCTGTGATTGGTAAGTGGCACAATCATCGTAAAGGTTGTTCTAATGAGAAATGAATGATTATGTACATTGAGTGGATAGATATCATGTAATTGATTTAACTTATGAGAAATGAATGATTGTGTACATTGAGTGGACAGACATCATGTAATTGATTTAATTTTAGGAGTTGCCACATTCGTCTTTTGTTTTATGTTTAGCTTCTTTGAAGATGTTGCAGAACTTTACATTTCTGTGAGTACTTATTTATCTTTTGCAACAGTTTTTTAACTTCACCGTTGCTTCAGTTCAGTCATCATTAAATGATTTGGTGTGATTTTTTGCTTAACTGAGCTTGGTCTATGTCATCCATTAACACCTTCACATGAACCTGATAGGGGAGTATGTGGATCACTTAAGGCCGTAGTTGAGCTCAACATTAATGGATGAACATCCATCATTCCAAATTATTATACTAATAGTTAAAGGTTATTGATTGTGTCCTAGTAACTCAACTGTTTTATTACTTGATGCGGGACTATTCCCAACTCTCATTTGGATTTTGATAAACTCGCAGTGTCCTCCACTTTGCCTATGCCTTCTCAAATGGAAGTTTTTAATATCATTGAGTGTCATGCAGCAAGACTCAACTACATGGAGTCTTGCTGGATACTTGTTCTTGAACCTTGTTTGATCATATAGATAGAACCAACATGATCCCATGATAGCAAACACACCGCATGAAACACATCCCAGATGAGCCATTGGATTTGACGGGGCTATTGGTTGATCTAATATATTTGTGAATGAACATCCATTAACCCAAACACTCAAGTTGATGGCCAAGGGCCACTATTAGTCTAAATTTCAATTCTAATGCATAATGATTTTCCACTTTTATGTGAATCTTAATATTCTTTTACTCATCCTTTCTTTATTCTTTTTTGCTTGTATTCTTAGGGAGCAGAAAATTTTTAGTACTCAGGAGTTAATTTGACATAAATAGCTTCAAATCCGATACTTAATGTAATCATAAGCATTTCACTATCAAATTTCATTGCTGTGGGTTTTGATATAGGATAATTGCAGTGGAGACTTGAAGAAGTGGTGGTTAAATCCAAAAGAGAAAGAAGATGAATGGAAAGCTTATCTTTATAAAGATTGATAAAGTAAGACTCTTAACACTTAACATGTAGACTGATTTAACGCATAGCGTTGCAATGAAGACAAAAGCACTCATCTTACAATGAGAAAGGGTTGGCTGACCACGTAGGGGAAGCCTCTCAAAAATATCATTCAACATTTTTAAAAGATAACCCTAGAAGTAAGAAAAGATGATCAACTTCATGTAATAGTTAAACCATGAAGTCAAAGACTGAAGCCGAAGATTTGAACATATTGGGCAGCACGAACTTAAAAATTTATGCTGAAGTAGATTTGTAGCCACCAAATCATTAACATGTCCAAGATGATCTTAAACGAGATCTGCAATTGGGAAACTTGTAGCTCAAGAAAATTAAGACGAGAAGAGGTCTGGACAAGGGGAGTTCATCTGGAAGAGGAACTTGTGGAGGCACCATGAGTTTATAATATCAACAATGTGTTACGCCGGTCCAGCTTGGACCGGCTCATCCTGGACCGGCCCAGCCGGTCCAGTTTTACCGAAGACGGACACCACGCCAGGCGGAAGAGAGAGGGAGCCAGGGAGTGGGGTCCACGTGCAATTCAAACTTGGATTAAGTATTTTTGGAGGGAGAAGGAAGGGTAGAGTAGTCCTTTTGCGTTTAATTTGAATTAGATTGTATTAAGAGGGAGTTATGAGGGAATTAGGTTTTCATCTTGATTTTGAAAAAGGATTCGTCTTCTAGGTTTTCTTGTTTGGGCTCTTGGCGTTGCCGGAGATTGTTGGAGAGTAATTCCTTCCTCTCGAATTGAAGGAAAAGTGTATCTTTCTTTGTTGTATTGCATCTACTATTGGAATACAAGTTCTTGCTTCGTTTTCTCTCAGATCTTTAGTGAAATTTCCCTATTTTCTTCTCTTTGGTGGCTGTTTTTCTGCTGTGGACAGCAAGAAAATTGCTGTTGATTACTGATTTGCGCTAGGATTACTTATAAATACAAGTATTTCCTATCACAATGTTGAGTTTAAAAACAGAGACATCATTGTTTTCCTATAGGCATCTTCATATAACTTAATTCCTTTAGCGTTGGATAGTAGCAATGAAATTCTAGGAGATATATTCATGCCAAGAAATGAGTTTAGTGTATTGCATCTTGTTTAGCCATAGATTGATCATAGTTTATGTGAGAAGTAACAATTTTAATGTATGATTCTAGTTTCTTCATCAATATAAGGTGGAGCATCAAAGTGATTATGTGATGGTGGAAAAATGGGAATTGTGTGCTTAATTTGTCAAAGGAATAGAAGTATTAGGATCATAGGACTGCCTATGATAAGCATGATGATCATTATAAAAATTATAATGGATCCATGTGCGAGGAGTAGATTGACGATGATAAGAAGAATTTTTTGAAGGAGAATACTATAAGTAGAATGAGAATGTGTTCATGATCTTTGTTACAGAACCAACCAAATCGGCCTAGGAGGGGCCGGTCTAGTTCTACAAGAGGCGGGCTAAGCCGCCTCCTTGATGTGTTTCCGCCCAGCTTATGGGCTCCCCTTGAGGTGGCAATAGGAGAGAGGGGAAGGAATTTTGAAATTAGTTTATATTAGGGAAGTGGATTTAATTAATTAAAAGATTTGATATCTTTTGTATTAATTAAATAATATCTTATATTAAGAAGTTTTTAAGGAGGTGGATTTAATTAATTAAAAGATTTGATATCTTTTGTATTAATTAAATAATATCTTATGTTAGAAAGTTTTTAAGGAGGTGTAGTTTTAAGGAGGTGGAGAGGGCTATTTAAAGGGGATGAAGGGGCTAAGGTAGGTATGCTTGATTATTGTTCTCTTGGAGTCTCTTGGGTATCTTGGGCTCTAGTCTCTAGACTTGGTGTCTAGAGATTGGGGGAGAACGAACCTCCTCTCGAATAGAGGATCAATTTTATCTTGTTTTATGTTTGCTTTGCTTTATCTTATATAATCAAATCTATTGTTTTGAGTTGATTTCATTAGTATTCTTGTGTTCTTTCTTGTTGTTTTACCAATTCATTGTTAGGGTTGCTTGCGAACTCAAGTATTTCTGATAGGATTACTTGCGAACCCAAGTATTTCTTATCAATCTTTCAATTAGGATGGTAGTACGTATAACATTTCCTTTGAGAATATAAAGGAGAAGAGTAATATTCCATGATAATAGCTATAAAGGTTAATTTGAAGAGTGTGGGGTTGGGTTAATGGTTTGTGGATAAAGCCATCATTTGTAGGAATGCTGGAATATAGAGGAGGTTTAATGCTAAAATTAGCAAATGGTAAGGTTTGTTTATGAATTGGTGGAGGATGAACTTGCCAAAGTATTTAAGTGTGTCAAGATCTTGAGAGTAGGACGGGGCATTGGGAGTTGTGCAAGAGGCTAGGTTTGTTGGGGTTGAAG